ACCTAACCTAACCTAACCTAACCTAACCTAACCTAACCTAACCCAGTCCCGCGCCAACCCCCGTAGCGCGAGCATTACTTTTAGAGCCGCTCCACGCTCAAAAATCGTTAAAAATAGTTAAAGTGCTTCAAAGTCGCTGAAAATTTGTATAAGTGTGTAACTTAGTGACGTGCATCATTGTGCAGAACATTACAGACCAGGAGTGCAGTGAAGTGTGTAAAAACCACTGAAATAATTTTGTAAATAAACAAAGTGCACGTGGTCGTGACATTTTTCAGCAGTTTTCGGCGTGCGCTGCTTTAAAACGATCGGCGCCCCCCTGTTTTTCAAGTGCAAAAAGTTGCGTATGGTAGCCCTCTACAAGGTGTGTAAATTGTGGATTTTTCCGGACGAACCCCTGGGAGTTACCACCGAAAAACTGTTTTCACCACGTGGGTGTGATTCCATATAAAACGCCCTGGGGTAAATTTCAACACCAGCATACCAAGCGCTAGCCTTAGCAGAGACCGACGACGTGTCCAGAAGAAAATTCGGAGCACTAACTTTCCAGTTACAGCGAAAACAACACCTGTGCATTTCTAAAACTCATCACCATTTTCTTTCCGGGACCCCTGCTCAGCGGCGAGATCTGCGACCACCACTTCTTAATTTAGGTATTTATAGTGTGACATATAAGTATTATTTTCTTGTTTAAATTAAATTTTTAGGTGCAATAGTTAGGACGTTCTAAATTAAATTGAATTAGAAAAAATATTTGCCAACTGTAATTAGACCCAACCTTAAGTTGGTAACTCGACAAATTCATGTTGTATTTTGCGGTCGATGAATCAAATTTATTTAGGTCATCATTCAGTTTTAATAAATAGTCTTAATATTGTGAAAAAATAATTACAGCTTCGTTGAGAGTGGCTAATATCGCTAATATTGGTAAAATTGTGTAAATTTTAGAAATAAGATTAGGCTGTATTTTAACCCAAAAAATTCAGAAGCGGTGGCAAATTGTAGGGACATAATTGTAAACTCACGTAAAATTTCGTAATCTGAAAATTGACTTTTTTGTATACTGTTTTGTAAAAAATTTGAAAACGTGGAAGTTCAGAGGGTGACCTAAAACTAACATCCACGTTTTCAAAATAAATCTGGCAGGGGTAGTCTACGAGCTACAACCCTTTAAAATTTTTGTATAGAAAACCCAAAATTAATACAGTTGTTAAGTTCATAAAAATCTGGCTGTCTTTGGACACCTGTAGTGGGACACCCAGGAGCTAATCCACCCAATTATAGAGATATAAGATTTTTATTTCCGTATAAGTAGTTAATTTTAATAGTTTTTTGGGGGTATAAATTCGGGGGTTAAACCATTCAAATTAGTAAGGGGAAATATAAGTAGGGCTCCTCAAGCCCTACCATTTAAGCCCAAGCACGGTTAGATTCGGTCAATAAATAAGCGTAGGGACGTAATTCAAAGTTTTGGCCGCCATATTGGCCGCCATCTTGTAAAATCTCAAACAGGAATATCTCGCTAACTATTAGGCCCACAGAGACGGGATTTCTACTGTTGTTAAAAGGAGGTTAGTGCTTATCCGGGGAAATACAAAAGAGCTCTACATAGAGTCAAAAACTGTTTCACTCTTTTGAGTGCAGGAACGGACAGCCATTGCCCCGGAGATCATCTAGCCGTTTTTCCCTGCGCGCTGGGACGAAAATTGACTCTGCTATAGCTATTTTAATATTAGGTCCGCCATATTGGACGCCATTTTGTTTCGCATAAATTGTCCATTTCTCGGCCATCTTTGAACGTACGAAGCCGCGGTTTTCAATAGTATACTACCCAAGGACGGCGCTAGAATTTTAGGACTTTGTGACTCTACGTAGAGTTGCAAAAATAACAGTACACTTCGAACGCGCCATCGAAAAGCCACAAACATCCTGACTTAGACAAGCCCTCGCACGAGGATCTGCGGTGGATATTGACCGAGTTACGTCCATACTAAATCTCAGCCGCCATATTGGGCGGCCATATTGGAAATATTCAATCTTCAATAACTCGGAAGATATTCATCGTAGCGCGACGCGGTTTTGGGTGTTGAACTCAGCGTTGCAAGGGTTCTCCAACACATACTGACACGTGACTCTATATAGAGTTGGAAAAATCTTCGTTACGAAAAATCACGCAAAACACAACATACACACAAAACACTTACCTACACGCATATGAGCGACTCTACATAGAGCTGGAAAAAATTTCTTTTGAAAAGTAAACATTACACACACACACACATACACACACACACACACACACACACACACACACACACACACACACGAGCGAGCGGGTGTGAGCGCATACACACACATCCACATACACCCACCCACACACGCACACACATACATCCACACACACCCGCCCTCACACGCACACGCACACACACACACACACACACACCACACACACACACACACACGTACACACACATACACACACACACGTACACACATACACACAAACAAATAACATACTCACCTGTACATTTACCTGCATCCTGGGTGGTTCCTCGCGAAGTGAAGAAAACCCGTGGACCTGAAGGACCTGCAAACAAAACAGATAGTTCTTAATTTTAGGACATAAAGTAATTTATACTTTCCATATTTACAATTTTCACGACTTTTATATTATATTTCTATACCCTATTTTACAATATCTTGTTAAATCTTTACAACTTTTACAACTTTACTAACTTAAAAGTAGACGCGTACCACCGGCGAAAATGTTTGGACACCGCACGCCTATGCGGAAAAATGACCAGGGTCAGGCACCCAGAACCCCACCCGAAATATCTCCGACACAAGTTCCAAACGTTAGAAAGAGCGTAGGCGAATGGGAGTCGGGAAAGAAGGACATCTCCGAACGCTCTCCTTTGAAAAGCGCCCCCGAAACTTCGAAAACAAAACGGGCAATAGTTTTGTCGCTGGACCACAAGACGTACACCCGCAAAACATCAGCGGAAGCCACAAGCCCATCAACAACAGCTAGCTACAAAGACAAAACAACAGAGGCTAGGGCAAACTTGCAAAAGGCCAAATTGCACCTAAATAGCGCGCGCAACCTAAAAACGGAAATAAAAGAAGCGGTATTACAGGCCGTGGAGCGCCTGTACCAAATAGTCAAGGAGTCAGAAGCTGACGCAAAGGCCAAGACAAAGGAGACCGGAAAGAGAAAAGAGAACGATGCCACAAAGAGTGGTGAAGCCCAACCAGCATGCAAAGACGGAAGCCTATTAATAACACGGCTTGAGGAGCACTCCAAGTTACTCCTGGAAAATAACCAAAGGATGGAAGAACTTAAAGCCACAATGGAGAAGAACAACGAGGAAAGAGCGACCTACTCAACCGTGGCCGCAAGCAAGCCACTTCACCCACACGCCGAAAGAGTAGCATTGCACTCCATTGTGGTCTCATCTGAGGACGATACAGAAAGCGGAGAGCAAGTGCTTGACAAAGTACGGGAGGCAGTAGATGCCAAGGAAGGCTGGGTTAGGGTAGAGAGGGTCCGGAAGGCCAAGGACCGCAAAATTATAATGAGCTGCCGAACAAAAGACGAAAGGGCCCAAATCAAGGAAAGATTAGAAAAATCAGGAAAGCGCCTCGTGTGCGAGGAGGTCCAAAACAAGGACCCTCTCCTGATCCTCAAAGATGTCTTAAATAAGAACAACGACGAGGACATTGAAAAGGCTCTCAAAAATCAAAATCGGCACGTTTTCAGCGGCCTCGAACCAAAGGACCTTAGAATGACCGTAAAGTATAGAAGGAAGGCTCGAAACCCACTAACAGGCCATATCGTGCTGAGCGTGTCCCCTGCACTATGGAAAAGAGCGATAGAAGCCGGCGCACTGCACATAGACCTGCAGCGCATCAAAGTGGAAGACCAATCGCCGCTAGTTCAGTGTACAAGGTGCCTGGGATACGGCCACGGGAAACGGTACTGCAAAGAGGCAGTGGACCTATGCAGTCATTGCGGAGGCCCTCACCTTCGAGCGGACTGCAACCTGCTGGCAATCTCCCCTTCCTGCAGAAACTGTACACTAGCAAAGCAAGAGCATACTGAGCATAACGCTTTCAGCCAGACATGCCCGGTGCGTAAGCGATGGGACACTCTGGCTAGAAGCTCGATAGCGTATTGCTAAAGGCATCAAGGATGTAAACTCCCCCTACCGACTGCTACAAGCCAACCTGCAGAAAAAGAAACTCGCAACCGACGAGCTTATGATCGAGGCAGGGAAGCGAGGTATAGCTCTGGCACTCATCCAAGAACCGTATGTGGGCGCAACTGCAAGAATGAAGGATTACCGGGGAGCAAGGATTTTTCAGAACACCGGCGAAGGTACAGTCAAGGCGGCAATTGTTGTGTTTGACAACAATATTGACATAATCCAATACCCTGAACTCACCACAAACAACATCATAGTGGTGGGTGCCCGAACCGGCGCCTGGAGGATCACCCTGGTATCTTTCTACCTTGATAAGGACCAGCCTATAGGACCAGATCTTGAACATCTCAGGAGAGTTGGAGAGATGACAGACTACAAATGGCTTGTCATAGGGGGGGATGCTAATGCCAAAAACACCTGGTGGGGAGCTCAAAAGACCGACAAGAGAGGAGAGGAAATGTTAGGAGTCCTTGACTCCATGGAAATGCAGATACTCAACTATGGAGTGATACCGACTTTCGACACAATAAGAGGCGGGAAGCGCTACAGCAGCCACGTCGACATCACAGCTTGCACGACGGACCTATTGGACAGGGTGGACGACTGGAGAGTTGACGAAGGTTTGACAAGCTCGGACCACAATGGTATTGCATTCAACATAAATATACAAAAATCTAAAGGCATAAGCATCTCCAGAACCACGAGACAATATAATACGAGAAAGGCAAATTGGACTGAGTTTCATGTGAAACTCAGCCAATTAAAACAAGAACAACAAGTAACACTGGAGATGCTGTGCAACATAAACGAGACAAAACAATTAGAAAAATTTATAACAAAATTTACAAATATAGTGACCACAACATGCCTACACTCAATACCGAAAAAGAAAAATAGCCAAAAGCTTACCATACCATGGTGGTCCGATCATCTTGAACAGTTGAAGAGGGAAGTCGTCACCCGAAAAAATAGAATCAAGCGCGCTGCACCAATCCGCCGGGCGAGAGTAGTCGACGAGTATCTGCAGAAAAAAGAGGAGTATGAGAAGGAAGCTGTGAGAGCTCAAATAAAAGGATGGAAGGAGTTCTGCGAAAGACAGGACGGGGAGAGCGTGTGGGACGGTGTCTACCGGGTTATCGGTAGAACCAAAAAGAGAGAAGAAGACCTTCCACTCGAGAGAAATGGGCAAATACTGGACGCAAAAGGCTCAGTGCGGATTTTGGCGGAGACTTTCTACCCAAACGATAACAGGCAGGACGACAATGCTGAACATAGCAAAATTAGGGCAACGGCGGAGGAAATAAATATGAAAGAGGACATCATAGATACACCGTTCACAAAAACGGAACTAACTATGGCAACCAAATCATTCAACCCCAAAAAAGCCCCCGGCTCGGATGGGTTTACCGCTGACATTTGCGCCAAAGTAATTGAAAACGACCCCGACCTGTTTTTGAAAATAGTAAATAAGTGCTTGGAGCTCACGTATTTCCCAAACATATGGAAAGAGGCGACAGTAGTGGTACTGAAAAAACCAGGAAAAGACAATTATAGGACCCCCAAATCATACAGACCAATAGGATTACTACCAGTCTTCGGTAAGATCTTTGAGAAGATGCTGATGACACGAATTAAATACCACCTAATTCCGAGGATGAGTACTCGCCAGTACGGATTCATGCCCCAGAGAAGCACGGAAGACGCCCTCTATGCCCTAATGCAGTACATACGCACCAACCTTAACCAGAAGAAGGTAATCACAATGGTATCTCTGGACATAGAGGGAGCGTTTGATAGTGCATGGTGGCCAGCAATAAGAGTCCGACTGGCTGAGGACAAGTGTCCGAGTAACTTAAGGAAAGTCATCGACAGCTACCTAAAAGATAGGAAGGTGAACGTAAGGTACGCTGGAGAGCAATTCTCAAGGAAGACCGATAAAGGCTGCGTGCAGGGATCGATTGGGGGTCCAATACTATGGAACCTGCTGCTCGACCCACTACTAAGAGAGCTCGAAGCTAAAGGGGAAATGTGTCAGGCCTTCGCGGATGACGTCGTTCTGTGCTTCGACGGGGACACTGCGCAGGAAATAGAAACACGCGCCAATGCTGTTCTCGAACGTGTGCGGGAGTGGGGTGTCGCAAATAAGCTAAAATTTGCACCACAAAAGACCAATGCAATGGTGATCACTAGAAAGCTAAAATGCGACACCCCACGCCTGAGCATGGGCGGGACAAACGTTGGCGTAACAAACGAAATCAAACTCTTGGGAGTCACTATTGACAACCAGCTTACGTTCAACACCCACGTCAAAAATATGTGCACTAAAGCAGTGGCTGCATACAAGCAACTAACACGAGCGGCAAAGATAAGTTGGGGCCTACACCCTGAGGTTGTACGCATCATTTACACCGCCACGATCGAACCAATACTTTTGTATGCAGCCAGTGTTTGGGCACCAGCCGTCACAAAGGTTTGCGTCAAAAGAAAGCTCGATGCCATGCAACGCGGATTCGCACAGAAAATCTGTAAGGCCTATCGCACAGTGTCTCTCAACTCGGCCCTGCTGTTGTCTGGGATACTTCCTCTGGACCTCCGAGTCCGTGAGGCGGCATCGCTTTACGAAGCCAGGAACGGAGTGCCCCAGCCAGCACTGGCCGATTGGGAGGTCGAGCGAAGGACCCCGGTAACTGAGGCGGATCACCCAGCCGAGCGCCTGAGCCTCGAGTTCCATACCCTGGTAGACCAGGAACAAGTAGACGCCAACAGCCATTACGACATACGCATTTTCACCGACGGCAGCAAGATCGGCGGCCGGGTTGGTGCCTCGCTATCCCTGTGGAATAGTAAGAACGAAATCACGGCCGTCAAACTTAGCTTGCCGTCCTTCTGCACCGTCTACCAGGCGGAGCTCTTGGCTCTGTGCGAGGCAAGTCGGGTTTTAACAAAACGTACGGAGCGAAAATACGCAATTTACTGTGACTCCAGGGCCGCAATTCAAACCGTCACAGGACCTGAGAGCCTACACCCTCTAGCCGTGCAAACACGAAATAACATCAAAACTTTATACCAGCAAAACAAAACTGTCACTTTATACTGGATAAAGGCACATGCAGGGCTAGAGGGCAATGAGCGCGCCGACGAGCTGGCAAAAGAGGCCGCGTTAAAATCCAAAAAACGTTACAACTACGACCAGTGCCCCGTTTCATTCGTCAAGCGAAGCATCCGCTTGCGCTCGCTTGACGAATGGAACAGCAGGTACAAAAACAGCAACACAGCCAGCATAACGAAAATATTCTTCCCAGACGCCATAGCGGCCCATAAAATTGTCAGAAAAATAGAGATGACCGGAGTAATGACACAAACAATGACGGGACACGGTGGGTTCTCTGAGTACTTGAAACGATTCAAGTGCAAGGAGAACTCATCGTGCATCTGTGAGCCTGACAAAGTGGAAACCGTACCCCACATACTTCTGGACTGTCCAGTTTTTGCACCAGAAAGATTTAATATAGAACAAGAAATAGAATGTAAGATAACAACAGATAGCATAGGTAATATAATGATAGGTAAGAATAGGGACATCTTCTTGAGATACTGTAACCAAATAGTAAATAAGGTAATTAATAGGAATAAAACAGGATAAGAAACAAATGTGTTAGCCAAATATTGCATATATTTAGTATGTAACACATTGTACCATTAGAAAGTGAACAAACAAAATGTATAATAGAACCAGATTTTAAGAATATGTTGTAATATAGTTAAACAAACAGTAGTAAGACACGTAAATTAGCATAAATAATTGTTAGTAAGATATGTAATTAGCAGTAACAAAGATATGTAACTAGTAAAAGCAAACAAACTGTAAAAAAAAAAAAAACACTTACCGGAACTTCCTCCTCCCTCTCCTCCTGAAAAAGAAAGAAAATAAGAATAAGAATTAGGAAACATAAGTAGATAGGCGTAGTGGCATAGGCGGGAGGCCCACCCGTAAAAGTGTGAAAGAGATGAATGAAAGAAGAAATTGTATGAGGCATGAAAGTACGAGAGGCTTACAAGCGAGAACTTGAATGAAAGAGAAACTAGATTAATAAAGACTGCGGCATTGCTGCCGGAGGTACTAGAATTAAAAAAAAACAAAAAAAAAAAAAAACCTAACCTAACCTAACCTAACCTAACCTAACCTAACCTCACCTAACCTAACCTTAAGCAACCCATTTTTTTTTTTTTTAACGCGGGGAAATCCTTCATGGATACCTTCCGTCTGGGGATACAGACGAAAGGTTATGTGAGACTCCTACTCACTAAAACCCCGCGGCACCCGTCTCTGCACCATGTGCTGGGTCTTGGGGGCGCCGAAGCATTCTTCCAAAACCCAGCGGTGCCTACCCGTTTCCGGGCTCACCTCGCTAAGAGGGAAGGAGAGGAGCTATTCCTTCCTTCATAGCCCACTGAGAGGCGCGCGCGGGTGCACGCGACGCCATCTCGAACCACGTGTAGACGACGAACGTGTATCCCCACGATCGTCGTCGTGGCTCCCTATGGGGGAAGGTGGCGACCGAAGTCACGCCGCCTTCTCCCTGTCCTCCGGCGCCGGATGTCGACAGTGGCCGTAGCCTCTCTGTCTCTCTCCGCCGCCTCCTTCCGCGATAGAACGGTTTCGCAGAAGGTGAGGACCGCTTTCCAGGACCCCTCGCTGTCGACCATGGCGCGAACCACTGTCGGCAGAGAGAGGTCCCTTCCCACAATTGCGCCAAGTGATCGGCGCTCCTCCGCCCAGGCCGGGCAGACCTCCAGCGCATGCTGGGCCGTCTCCTCGGGGCAACCACCGCAGTGGTGGCACTCCGATGTCGCCTCCCTTCCGGCAATCCGACACAGATATCTCCCAAAACAACCGTGTCCCGAGAGGATCTGCGTCAACCGAAAGGTTAGCGCACCATGTCGTCTGTCCATCCACTGCAACAGAACAGGGCGGATTGCCTCGACGGTTCGATGGCCTGCACTAGGCTGTTCAAGCCTGTGGGCCCACTCCTCCAATATGGCGCGACGGAGCTCGTTCTCTTTCGCTTCCATCTCTCTCGGCGCTAATCGCTGGCCCTGGCCATGCACTTCCTCTCGCCAGTGAAATATGGACGAGAGGGCCTTCGCATCCAGGTCCCATGGCAGGGAACCTGCCAGCACACAGGCTGCCTCAAAAGAGATCGTGCGGTACCCACGCGTCACCCTTATGGCCATCACCCTCTGAGGTTTGCGCAGAAGGGCGATATTCTGCTTCTTGAGAGTGTCTGCCCACACAGGGGAGCCATACATGGCCATCGACCGCACGACCCCCATATACAGTCTCCGGCTTGAGGCTCGTGGACCACCCAAATTTGGCAAAAGCCCACTCAATGCACCTGCAGTCCCCATCAACCTTGGTACCAGGCGTTTAAAGTGGGCTTGAAAGTTCCAGCGACCATCAAGAGTAAGTCCAAGATACTTCATTGTATCTTGGACCTCGATGCGGACTCCCCCCACCACAATATGCGAACCGGCAGGTGGCGCCTTCCGAGGCCCGTGAAAGAATAGAGCCTCTGACTTATTTAGGGCCACCTTAAGCCCTAAGCGCCTTATGCGTTCCACCACTTGAGCCACGCCTGCCGTGGCCAACACCCGTGCCTCGTGATGGGATGAACCTTTGGCTGTCACAAGTGTGTCGTCAGCGTAACAGAAGACGTTGACGCAGCGCAAGTTTGCCCCCCGTAACACCCAATCATATCCGATGTTCCACAGGAGCGGCCCCAAGACCGATCCCTGTGGAACACCGCAGGACATCCTGTGTCGGCCCCAGTGCTCTCGCCCCGGGTACTCCACCCATCTCTCCGAAAGATAGGCTCCGATTAACCGCCGCAGGTACATAGGAACCTGGTGGTATCTCAGAGCCTCCTGAATACAAGGCCAGGGCAGGGAATTGAACGCATTGGCGATATCAAGAGATACCGCCAATACAACTTGGCCACGGGCAACGGCTTGTTCCGTGAGGCACTTCACTTGCAGGATGGCGTGGATAGTGGACCTGCCCCTGCGAAACCCGAATTGGCACTCAGCCAAGTCCGGTCCAACCCGCTCGAGATGCCCGACGAGACGGGCAGCTACCACACGCTCGAAGAGCTTGCACACCTCGTCAAGCAATACAATAGGGCGATAACCCGACGGCGAGTCTATGGGACGACCCTCCTTTCGCAGCAGGACCAGCTTCCCCACCCTCCACTGCCTCGGGAGACTGCTCTGCTCCATGCAGGCGGAGAAGAGTTTTGCGAGACGAGGTCCAAGCGCTTCCATCGCCAGCACCCAAGCACAACCAGGGATACCATCGAGACCCGGAGCCGTTTTCTTGGCTTTCAGCCGACGTACTGAAGCCTGTAACTCTCCTTCCGTGACCTCAGGCACATCAATCAACGCACTGTCTGTCATGTCTGGCGGAGCCATCGCAGGAGGAGCTCGGTTTTCCGCAGTTGGGAAAAGCGCTGACACCACGCCCTCCAACAGCTGAGGTTGGAGAGTTTTCGTGAGAGGCGGAGCCCAGGGTCGAAACTTTTTTCGCACCATTTTGTAAGGGCGTCCCCACGGGTCGTCATTCAGTGTTCGGAGTAGCTCCTGACGTGCTCGCATCTTTGCATCGGCGATTTCCATCTGGAGTGCCGTTTTAGCCTCACGGTACGAGGCGTAAAATTGAGCCTCCAAAGTTTCATCCCGCTGTCGTCTCCTGCGGCACCTAGTGTACCGGCGTCTCGCCTCCACACACGCATTACGGAGTTGTGCGATGTCCGCGGACCACCAGTACACTTGTGTTCTAGGTGGCAAGGTCTTTGCGCGAGGCATTGCCGCGTCACAACAGCTGGTCATGGCCTCCCGAAACCACGATGCCTCAGAATCGACATCGATCGGACCTTCAGGGGCTCTCAGCCAAGACTGTACAATGGAGGCTTCTACCAAAGAATCTCTATCGAGCTTCTTTAGTACCCATCGTGGCCCGTCTCCATTCGCGCCAATTCGGATCGATTGGTAGGCGGAAACTGGAAGAGCAGAGACCTCAAATCGAATATATCGGTGATCCGAAAGTGTCTCCACATCTTCCAACACCCTCCAGCCGTGGACTCTTCGTGCTACAACAGGGCTCGCAAAAGTCAGATCCACTATGGAGCTACCCTGCGGCCGAACGCATGTTGGCACCGTGGCTCGGTTTAGGATAACTAGACCCGCTGCTACTGCCCACTCTTCCAACACCTCTCCCCGCGCGTCTGTTGTCGGCGATCCCCACGCCACAGACTTGGCGTTGAAATCACCGGCAACTAGCACTGGGTGAGGGTGAACCTGTCCAATCAGAGCGTCCAACTGGGCAAGAAAGCTTTCGAAATCGGCCATGTTTCTGTTAGGAGAGAAATAAATCCCTGTAATCATCATACCACCCAACAGAGCACCGACAAACCCCGCACCTTTCTCAACTCTATCCACGGGAGGCACCGATTCAGACGCTTGTAGTACAATCGCCACGGTGTCGCCTTGATCTGCGATCCAATTGTCCCTAGGCGGGACAAAGTATGGCTCAGATACTACCGCCACATGCACAGACCACTCGGCCAGGCTCTGAGATAGAAGATCTTGAGCTCTGGCGCAGTGATTGGCATTCACCTGAAGCACGCGAAGGGCCATCAATTAATGGCGGTCATCTCTGCCTCCTCAGTCGCTGCAGGACGGGGCGGCTGTGGTTTGTCCGCAAGGCTGCCTCTCACCTTTTTCCCTTTTCTTGTTTTTTGGGCCTCCTTGCACGCCAGGCTACCCAGAATATGTCCAGCAGGTTTTTGAGCTACTGCGCACATCGTGCAGTGCGGGGTAGCTTTGCAGTCTGCCGCCTTGTGACCAATCTGACCACAACGATAGCACTGACTACTACGGTCAGCTTCTGCCGTGCACTGGACTCTAACGTGCCCGAATTCCAGGCACCGGAAGCACCTCATGGGCCTGGGGTCGAGCAATTTAACTTGCGCCGATACCCAACCCACGAGCACCCTGCCGGCGGTGGCTATTTTCTTGGCAGCTTCGATCGGAATCCTCAGCCAGGCCGCTCCCAAACCTGAAGGATCCCTCCGGATGTCGCCAACCTTGACAGCCTCCGTCACACACCCCCCGGCGAGAGCAACTGCTGCAGTCACCTCTTCAACAGTAACGGAATCATCCAGTCCCGAAATACGCATTTCAGCACATTTCATGGGTCTAGAGATTCGTACTATATCTTCTGGCAAGGCCTCTCTCAGTTTTTGGGCAAGAGCGTCAGCCTTTTCGCCACTAGTAGTACCTGGAACTTCCAAAATGGTGGCCCCTGTAGCCGCTTTTTTGAACCTCACTGCATCAATCCCCAGACCGGTGAGGTCAACCCTGCTCTTCGCCTCCAAAAGAACCTTGGCGTAAGTTGCTCCATGCTCTTCAGCCCCTGGTTGAAGGGTCAAAACCACCGCTGCGGAAGAAGGCTTCCGAAGTTTTGGCTTCTTCGCCTTCTGCGGCGCATTTGTTATCGGCTTAGGTGCCGCTTGGACCTTATTTTTCTTGGCACCTCGTTTGACTACAGTGGTCCAACCCTCGTCTATGTTGGAAGGTGCCGCTGTAGTAGCGCGAGGTGCAGCAGTGGATATTGCAGGTTGCACTGCCTTCCTAGTTGCCGTTACAGCCTTTCCCTTTTTCCCTTGTTTGGGATCAGAGACAGGCTTGGGAGCAGCACCAACACTGGTCGATTTCGGCTTTGAAGCCTGGGCTGACTGAGAAGCCGGAGCCTTAGCTCTGTCCGCTGCTAGAGGAGGACGAAGACTCTTTTCTGGCAGCAGCCTCTGCTCAAGTCCATCTAGTCGCGCATTCATCATGGTCCCTACTTGGATCATGATAGAACGCGCAAACTCTTCGAACCGAGACTCAGATGAGCCCGGGCCTCCACCTGATGGGAATGACTCGGAAGCAGCTGCTATCGCCATTCGTCGCGTTTTTTCCATATCAGTCCGCATAGCGGACAACTCCCTCCGAAGTTCCACAATTTCAGACTGCAAGCGAGCGTTGTCTGCTTGCAGTTTGGTTGTCTCCTCAGACACAGTTCGTTGTCGTAGAACAGTGACAGCATCCTCAATAGCCTTCGCGGAATCCTTAAGGACGCGCTGCATCGTGCCCTTAAGGTTTTTTGACTTCTTGGCCACCCCAAGGATGGCCTCTAAATTATCCTTGACCTGTTGGTCGAGAACCGTAGCAGACTGATTCTCATCCTCCGCATTGGAGGACTCCGACAGGCGAGAAACCAGTGTGTGACGAGCCCTCTGCGACGTCTGCACAATCTCCTTTTCCAATTGAAGTCGGAGTTCCTCTCGCTGAGCCGCAACGTAGGATGCTTTGGCAGCAGCCAAGCCTACATATTGGCCAGTGGTAGGG